ATGGTACAGAATTCCCCCCTTGCTGGTATGAGACTGGAAGGCAGGAGACTGTAAGGTGTGAAAGGACCTTCCTGCCGAGCCACAATTCCCCAACCTCTGTGCCCTTCTTGCCTCTCAGCTTCCCTCCCAGACCTCACTCACCCTACTCATTCCTGCCCCCTCTGTGGACTCCTCTGTGCCTCAGGGACAGCCATGTTGCACCTACTGGGCAGGCAAACTGCACCAACCCAAGGGCCTGGCCAGTGTTTGTCCACCTGGCTATCATGCCCGCTTGCCACCCACCAGGCCTGCTTGACTGTCTGGGTCAGGAACTGTGCAAGGTCTATAACCAGCTTGGAATCCGTGAGCCTGTTTGAAAATCATGGGTGCTGGCAGGAGATTCAAGACCCAGACACAGGCAAAGGACTATGCTGCTCACTGCCCACCATTAAACTTCGGCATAAGCAAATTCAGTCTGACCTTTTTCTAAACCCCAGGGTAACACAAGGGGTCCAAATGGAAGCTACACTTACAGTGGGCAAAGAGGTAGCAGAAGAACTAAGGAACCCGGTCCAGCACCATAAGCAGCAATACATATTACAGCAAGCAGCAAACCAGTGAATCCCCCACCTACACAAAGAAGTGGTGCCTGGGACTCCTGGGCTGCCCAGGTAACCAGGCACCAAAACTGCTCTGCATCAGGACACAGAGCAGGTTAATGTGGACACTCAGCAAGGACATGCAGGACCTGGGTAATGACCCTCCCCACAATCTTAAGCCTGCTCAAGGGTCACATAACCCATAGCCACTTGCTCTGTTCCTCTTTAATCTTCATTTCTTGGATTTGCAGACCAACCAACAGGGGACCAGGAAGGAGGTTATACAGGTTGAGATCCCTCCCTGTGATTAGGCTCCAACTGTGCCCCCATAACTAGGGGATTTCTAAGTCCATTTATGGACTTTTATCTGCATTCATTTGTTGTTACCTCTATTTTCTATAACTCACTCCCTTTGTAAACACAATGGAGAGAGGCGATTGCATCTCCCGCTATGGCCATGCATTTACCTTAAGTTGAATATTTCCCTTTACGTGCTAAGGCTGAGTTTTGAGGTGTACAGGTATTGAAAATTGTTTTATCACCATGACAGATCAAATCTTTCATCAGTATAGATTTAGTGCTATCTCCAAAATAATGCCTTTTGCCTTAAAAGTCAACACTATCAGGAATAAGTATAGTTGCCTGGGCTGTTCTGCTTCATTTTCCACGGAAAACACGTGGCCATTTATTTCCCCTAATCTGCTTTACCCTGGTATTTGAAGTCTGATTAGCTTTTGATAGACAACCAGGAGACAAAATCGGGACCAGTGAGGCTGTCCCTGGTGGTTACTGGTATGGGTGGTTGGAGTGGCTCCTCACCCACAGACATTAACATACTAAATATATTGTCCTGATGTGCAAGGTGCTGGCAATTTCTCATTGAACAATAGAAATGTACTGCTTTACATAAATGTCCCCAAACGGAGCAGCTCTGGGTTGTGTATTTATTCAGTGGCCCTTCACCTCATCCTTCCCACTGGACCTTGTGTAAGGTCCTCCCACTCCTAGGCCCCACCCCTGAGAGCCTCAGCATGCAAGCAGAGGCCATTTCCACAAACGTTAATTAGTGACCATCAACAGGACTCTCTTTTCCATGTCCCTCACCCTTTTGTGAAAACTTCCCTAGACATGCCACACAGTCCCAGCATGCCACTGGGCAGAACTGGTTAACCTAAAAGATCACTCAAGATCAGTCTCAAATAATCTTAAAATGCTCAATCAAGATGATCCCTGAATAACTCTGTGTATAAGTACCATAACCAAATCATGACTTTCTCAAAGTTAAAGATGGCTTATATAGACAAAGAAACGTTATTGCCTACTACCAACGATAATAATATATCAAAATTAATAATTTTATGAATTTTGATAATCCCCATTACTGCTACACTTATTACAACACTAACAGATTACATGCTTTTTATAAAGGGAGCCAGGTAATATTCAAAGCACGATGCTTATCTACAGTGACCTTCAAGGCAGGTTCTGTTTTTACTGTCTCTGAATATGTACAAACAGCAACTCACAGAGATCAGTGTGTTGAATCATATATAGAAGTAGAACCAGGGATTACCATGTTGCCCTTTGTGTAGCAAGAAACGCAGCACTCCATCACTGGAAGTACACATGAAGAGATTCCCCAGATACACAGCACTTGACACGCATGCATACCTATGCTGCTGCTCCATCTAAAACTAGAAAAATAAAGAAATTTTCCTTCCATAGACTATTTTCCACTGAGTTGATGAAATTACTACTATAACTCACAGCTGTTCAAATTAATCAGTCAGAAGCTGTCAAAAATTATGTTCCTGATTATGCAGAAATGCACAAGTCAGGTTTCTATTGAACCCAGTGGCTAGCTTTGTATTAGCTGCAAACTAGGGAAAAATAATTATTTTCTTAAGGGGCAGTTTGGTAACAACAGTCATACAAATTTACATATACTAGGAGAATAGGAAAAAAAGTTATGCAGTACAACACCTATGTTTAATATAAAAAGTGATAATATTATGCTAAGTGTATATATTCTCTATCCACAGTTATGCTGGGTTCCATAAAGGAAATTTTTTTGTTAATACAGAATGTTCCTAAGTATAACCCCATATTTGAAGGGGCAATTCTGTGCACTGTGGGATGTTCAATAACACTCCTGGCCTCCACTCACTAGATGCCAGGAGGAATCCCAACATGTGGTTATAACAATCAAAAATGTTCCCAGACACATACTCAAATGTCACCTGGAAGATATCACTGGTCATGTTTAACTAAAAAAAAAAAAAAAAGCATCATTATAATACACTTGACACTCCTCAGGAAACATTACTGAATAGCTTCTATTCTTTATGATCAGTTTTGAAATATGAAATAATACAGAAGTTCTGAGCAAAACACTAAAGGAACTACATAGATTCTTTTAACCGCACATAGCAAAGTGCAACAATGAAATGACTTACAAGCAGAATTTCATATTAACGGGAAATCAGAACATATAAATTTGGAAAGTTTACAGCCTAGTCATGTAAAGAACAGAAAAACATGCAGCCAAGAACTCTTATATTTAAGACATATTTTATGAATACACAACTGAATATATATGAAAATTTATGGGTAGGATTTTGTTTAGAATTAGGGTACATACATGTTTATAAACATATAAAGGAACATATATGTAAATATATATGAGTATTCAAAGTAATGATTATAATTTTTGTATAGAAGATTGATGGTTATCTGTAAGGATAGGTTTAGTTCCGAGTTAGTGACTAGGTTGATGGTGTTACCACTGGAATGCATATATCAATATAGAATTAAAATTATATGAAAGTTTATAAATACATATACTTTTATCTATGGCTATTTTAAAGTTATGTGGTATTTTGGTTATGTGTTAAATTTGGGGCTTGCCAATGGAAATGAAAAAAAAATTTTATATATATATATATATATATATATATATATATATATAGATATATATAGATATATATAGATATATATAGATATAGATATATAGATAGATATATATATAGATTTTTATGTGAATTTAAAAATTTATATCCCCAACTATATAGGTACATTCATGTAAAGTGATCTGGTCTATATGTGTAGAGGTTTCTGTTGAGCCATAGTTGTAGTGACAGACCATGTAATGAAAAAGGGTTAAGGTTAGAGCTAAGGTTTAAACATTTTTATCCATATGTATAAATTCAATATGGATATATGTGGTGAGCCGCTTCTGCCGTTTCTGCAGACTATGGTCGCCATTACGAGATGGCGCTGGCTCCGCTGTGGTATGTGACAAACAACTCCTTATCTGAGAGAGTTGGCACATGATTTTTCACCACCCTGTGAGAAAGCTCCACGCAGCAGCTTTGCATTGGGGCTTGGGATGCTTTATTAAGGCTGGGAGGGCATCCGGGAAAGAGAGAAGAAGAAAGAATAAGAAATATCAAGGGATCTGAATAAACTGCTGAGAGAAGATTCCTGAGTTGCGTCTTCCTTGCGGGCAAGGGGTCGCGACAGATATACATTAAAATATTTATATGTATCTGGATTTGTGTTGAGATGGATGCTTACAATTTGACTTAGATGTATGTTATAAATATATAAATGAATATGTATTAAAATATATGTGTAGTATTTTGTTTACCGATAGGATATATGTATATGTATGAATGTATATAAACAGACAGGAATGTATGTATTAAAAATACATGAATATTCAATGTAATGATTATAATTTCTGTATAAAAGGCTCATGGATATGGGTAGTGTTAGGTTGAATTCTGAGTTATGGAATAGGCTTATGGAGAGGGTTACCTTTAAAATTTGTGTGTGTGTGTATCAATATATGCATATAAATCTGAATGTTGAAGTAGAATTATATATGTAAATTTATTTTAAAAATAAATAAAACCATAAAAAGAACCAAAACTCTTACATAGAAGCATTAGTCTCTATGATTGGCAGGTCAAGCGTTCTGAACACAGTTATAATTCCCATAATTATAAATTCTCTTCTCTACAAAAATATTGGAAGCTTTTGAAGGGCTGATGTATTAAAGATATTTATTTTTAGCTACAATGAGATGTTTCTATTGTAATGCAAACAGATCACACATGAGATAGCCCAAAAGAGTATTTATTTTTCACTCACATAAAGTATAAATCAAGGGTTCTAGGACAGAAGTGGGATAATCTCTGATCTTGTGAGTCATTTCTTTTTGTCTTAAATCATAGTTACCTTCTCCCATTTAAAGTTCTGAAGAACATCTTAGTGGCCATCTTCACATGAGATCCACAGAGCATGAGACATCTGGAAGGACTGACGGCACAGCTTTTATATTGCACCATGCTTGGAAATAAGATTCAACGCTTGTGTCCCTATTTACCTGCAGAGCTATTTACATGGTACCCCAACAATAATGGGGCACTGAGAAATGCAGACTGTTTCCAGAAGGAAAGAAAATGGATTTTGGAGAACACTTGGCCAGTCTCTACCATACAAAATTAAGGGTGCTGTGACCTGGCAAGAGATTTTCCCACACTCATATGTTCTTGGGGTGTTTCCTTTACATGACTTAACTGGTGCTTGCTATAGTTGGACCTGTGGGAAAACACTTTTCCACATTCTTTACACTCATAGGGCTTCTCCCCTGTGTGAATTCTCTGATGTTCACCAAGATTTCCCTTCTGGCTAAAGGTTTTCCCACATACATTACATTCATAGGGTCTTTCTCCTGTGTGAGTTCTCTGATGGACAATGAAGGCTGATCTATTGTTGAAAGTTTTTCTACACTCTTCACATTTATAGAGATTTTCACCTGTGTGATTTCTCTGGTGTTCAGTGAGTTTTGACTTGACCCTGAAAGATTTCCTACATTCTTTACATTCATAGGGTCTCTCTCCAGTGTGAATTCTCTGATGCTTGCAGAGGTGTGGCTTCTGGCAAAAGGTTTTCCCACATTCTTTACACTCATAGGGTTTTTCACCTGTGTGAGTTCTCTGGTGTACAGTGAGGCCTACCTTGTGATTGAAAGTCTTCCCACACTCATTACATTTGTAGGGTTTATCTCCTGTGTGAGTTTTATGATGCTCCCTCAGGTGACAGTTCCGGGAAAAGGTTCTCCCACATTCATGACATTGATAGGGCCTTTCCCCTGTGTGAATTCGTTGATGGATGACAAGGTTGGACTTACGGTTGAAAGATTTCTCACAGTGATTACATGCATAAAGGTTTTTCCCTCTACATGCCCTTTGATGTATTATAGGGTCTGAACAGCTAGTGAAGGTTTCCTTATCTTTAATACATTCAGAGGGTCTCTCTCCTATGTGTACTTGCTGCCTTTTAGGTTTTTTGTAGAAAGTTTTCTTCCTCACCTGAGTTGTCTCTCCATCAATAAAAAATGAACCATCACAGCCTTTCCCACAGTCCTTCTCTCCACAGGTATTTCTCATAGGAACCCTCTCATGTTTCAATACATTCACCTGTGTGTTCAAGGCTTTAACTTGTCCACAACTTTCAAATTCCTCCTGCTGATTCTGACCAAGATGCTGAGGACATCTGAGAGACTTCCCGATTACATTACTTGTATCAGGCTCCCTAGAGAGAAGCCTGTTTTGATGTACATTAAACCCCTCAGGCCTTGTTTCTAAATAGTTCCCATTATTTAAAATCAGTCTTGAGCTCAATTTAAATTGTTTTTCTACTTCAACTCTCTCCTTAGTTGATGAATTGCTGTTGGTGATTACAACTTGCCACAAACATCTGTCTTGACTTTCTTGGCTCCTGTCTATTTGGTCATCCACTTTCTGGACATCTAAAATGAAAAACAAAAACAAATCCATAAATATAAGCATTTCTTATGGAATGCTCATGTAAAAGTAAAGTTCTTTCTTCCTACCTTAGCAGCCTACCATTTGTAATTAATCAATAATGAACAGTGACTATATGAGTATAGTCACGCATCACTTAATGTCAAGAACACTTGAGGAAAAATGTCATTACACAATTTTGTTATTGTGTAAACATCACAGAGTGCGCTTACAGAAATCTGAATGATACAGGACCTGTGTGGAGACACAGTAAACACAAGCTGAGGCTGCTCCCAGGGTAACACAGCATACTGTCTAAAAACAAACATTTTTATAAGTAGAAGAGTATGCCTTAAAATAATAAAAACTATAGTATAGTAAATATATAAAACGGTACCATAGTAATTTATTACAATTACTGCTACAGTTTGAATGTTAAACATCCTCCACAGGCCCATGTGTTAATGACTTTGTCTCCAAGTTGGCACTACTGGAAGTTGCTGTGGACCTTCAGGAAGCCTGACCCAGAGGCAGGTCCTAAGGTCACTGTAGGTGTGTCCTCAAAGTAGATTGTGAGAACATGGCCCATCCTCTCCCACCCTTGTTTCCTGACTCATAATGTAAATAATTTGCCATCATGCTCCCAATATTTCCACCCTTTCCAATGGCCAAAAGTGATGGGGTCTCACTATTTTGGACCAGAATCTCCAGAACCATTAGGCCCAATTGAACTTTACCTATTATCAGTTAGCTGCCTTAGGTATTTCATTGTAGTAAGTGACTAAAAATTATCAAGAATTATGTCCTATACACAACTTAGAGGACTAAGTTTTATAATACCAGCTTCACCACAAACATGTGGGTTATGCACTGGTCTATGACATTATAATGCTTACCATGTCATTAAATAATAGAAATTTTTGAGCTCTAACATAATCTTTTGGAACCAAGATTATTTAGATGGATACATGGTCCATAATAGCCCAAAATGTTAGGCAGTCCATGACTACATGATTTTTCTTCTGATTTAATGTAATAAAAAATATACTATCTGGGGTAGTAAATTTGACTCTTTTCCCTGTGCTAGATGATGACAGCTTTCTCCAAATTCCTAATTAAACCTGGCTTACTTTGCTTCTCAGGCCATAACAGATATGAGATACTTTAACCTATAACCCTGGGCTTCCATAACATGCTGGTCTAAAGCAACTTGCTCCCTAACCCATACTGTGCCCACCAGAAACTGCCTTTCTGGTTTCTTCTGAGATCCACAACCTGACTTGTCCCTCCGATTCCTAATGCAAGTACCCCTGTCGCACAATTCACTGCTTCTGAAAGCTTTTATTTTATGTACTAAAGTTTCAGCTGCTTCCTATTTTCTTAGAAAATGGAGCTTCACATACATTTCTCATCTTCTTTGCTTTAGAAGGATGTTCATAAAGACAAGGGAAAATAGGGACTTCAAACTCAACTCTAAGAAATTTGAGCCCTCCAAAATGAAACCTTCGTTTACTTGGCCTAGAGACCCAACATCTCCTGTTTCTATTCTGAAGTCCAGACCCACCTTTTGCTATGCTCCTATTCTGGGTCCTTCTCAGATTCATGATTCTTTATTTCTGGATGATAGGCTCACTCCTAGACTTCTTTTCTATCTTATCAACTCTCTGATGACCTCCTGTACAAGAATGACTTTAAATTTTTGTTTAAAGATGCTAATGTCCAAATTTGCACCTCCAATAGGGATGGTCCACCCTCAAATATAGATTTTATATTCACCAAGGTATTATATGTGAGTAGTGGCGAAAAAGTTAACTTGAACTGAAGCCATACCAAAGTAAATACATAATAATTCCCTAAAACTGCCTTCTCTGACCATCCTTTCTGAATTATCACATTCCATTTTCTTTTCTCACTCTGGTTAAATATTCTATGTATTTCCCATCCAATTAATTCACATTTTTCTTATTTCTCTCTCATTAGAATGTAAACTTCATAAAAGAGAGACAATATATTGATCACGTTTGTTATAAGTACATTATAAAATTCCCACTGCTCAAAATCTGCTTAAGAATAAATGGATGTATATTTTTAAAATGCCTGGGGGAAAAACCAACTTCACTGGAATGGTGGAAGACAGCAACTGAAAATGTGAAAAAGTGAGAAACAAAGAAAAAGATTTAAGAAAAGGAAGGCAGAGAATAGACCAGAGGTAAATGTTTAAAATACTCAGCAAAATAAAAGGCAAGGATTTATGTATAAGAGCCCTCCCTGTAGACTATATAATAAAAAATCTTTGATCCAGCTCTCCTCAGGTCTGGGACCTGTAAAGAAATCAAAAGAAGGGCTGGGGTTGTAGCTCAGTGGAAGAGAACTTGCCTAGCATGTGTGAGGCACTGGGTTCAATTCTCAGCACCACATAAAATAAATTAAATAAAGGTCCACTGACATCTTAAAATTTAAAAAAAAAAAAAAAAAAGAATCCAAAAGAGGACAGAAACGAAGTATAGGGGCAGAATGGCCCTTTGTCCAAGCTGCCAGCTTTATTTATGTCAGTAGGTTACATTAGGTCACTGGCATCAGTGGTACATTATTGTTCATTGTGTCATTAGGCAGGTTACAGAGTTAGCAACATTATGTAGGTTATTACTTAGTTACAAACTATAGTTGCAATGTGCAATGTTAGAAGCTTTGTGTAGATCTCAAGAAAGTCCATTGTTTAAAGCTACTGCTGAGTGGACAGGTACAAGCACAGCAGTGAAACACACTCCCAGGAGGTGTGTGCCTGAGATCAAGGTCAAGGCTGATAAGACTCTAGCACAGAGCCTCCTCATGCAGGGCATTGCTACAGCAGCTAGGCATCTTGTGTCTTTGCACAAAAACTTTCCCAGCAGTTAGGCATTCCATACCTTTGCACAGAAACTTTCCCAGCAACTAAGCATCCTGTTCTTTTGTACAGAAACTCCCAGCCACCAAGCACACCACAGCCATAAAGTCATCAGACAACCCAATCCCAAATACAGAACCCTTACAGGGACGCAGCAAAAAAGAGGTAGAGTAAGCTCAACACTCCCAACATCTGATGAATTTTACTGTTCCCACTCTCCCCTGTGCTCAATATGCACTGACTGACCTGAGAGGGTCTGGTTTGGGTGTTCCTCTACCATCCATGGCTCTGCTCCTTGCTCCAACTTAAAGATCACCTCAGGTTTTATAATGCAGTGCCCTGTTAATGAGAAATAATGTAAGATTTTGCCAAACTGCCACATCAGCTCCTTCCCAAAAAAAAAGAGCTTGGCTTCAGGAACTATTCAATGAAAGGTCTTGCCCACATCCCGCATAGGCAATGGAAGTAAAGGTTCCTCTTGGTAGAGTGGGATGGCTGCGAAACAAAAGCTAAGAAAGAGAAGGAAGTGAAAAAAACACAGGACACAGAAAGTAATTTTTAAAAAGCAGGGGCGGGATAGTCGATCTTAGGGATTGAGCTTCCACACTAGAAAGAGAGCAATGGAGCCTTTGCTTGCTTTGTTTATTTGGGAGGAACATCAAAGGTTTTCCATAGACTATTCTTTGCCAAATAAGGTAGGAGGTGGGCTGTCCAGTTTCCAAAGGTTATGCCCAAAACGAAAGTTACAAGAGCTGTCTACTCAGTAGAGCAAAGACAGAGATTTCATGCCTTGGGTGTTCTGATTCACATGGGAGAGCCGGGATAGTTCCAAGGAATAAAACCTAAGTCTCCGTGGCTCGGTACCAAGTAAAGACCCCTCAAGTAGTTCACGATGGCTCCCCACAAAAAAGGCCTTTCATTAATAAGGCATGACACACTACCAGGTGTGAGAGTACCAATCTGTAATCCCAGCAGCTCAGAAGGTAAGCAGGAGGATCACAAGATGGAAGCCAACCGAGGCAAGTTAGTGAGATTCTATCTCAAAAAAATAACAAGCACTCAGAGGTAGCATCCCCGGATCCAACCCCCAATACCAAAAAAACAAAGGCACATTCTACATGAATTAGAATCCCATACCTAAATAGCATTAAACCTTATAAATGGTTCTTATATTTGCCAAATGGGTGCAGGGAAGGACATCGCTCCCGGAAGTTATCGGGGAGTTTTGCTCACCCAGTGACACCAGGCTGTAATAGGTCTCCAACATCACATCCCTATACAGGGTCCTCTGAGCATCATCCAGGTTCTGCCACTCCTCCCAGGTGAAGTCCACAGACACATCCTCAAATGACACCAACCCCTGCAACAGCACATTTCTCCTCAAGTCATCAGTCCTCCACAGATTGTGTCTGTCTCCCTTCTATATAGGTGTGTATGTCTTACATGTATCTTCCACACAACAGAGAATGCTTTATACTATATATGATGGATGAAGGAAAGATCACAGTGAAAGTATCCACAGTAAAAATTTATTATCAAAAATACTACTATAAAATTTATTTTAAATATCTAGACCCATACTTGTTGTGAGGGAGATAAGCATGAATAAAACTCCGTTCCTCTAAAAGTCTTATGATCTGATATGAAGACAAAGAATATATGCAGACCTGGAATGATGTGCAAAATGAATTAATACAAACAGAAGTGCAATATAGACTGGGAAAACAAAAAAGGAGAAAACACCGTTCTATTTTGTATTATGAGGTTGGTGTCACTGAAACACTAAAGATGTTCAGCTTTTCCATGTGAACTGTGTTTTCATGAATTTGAGTACCACAAACAATGCACAACACATTAATGAAATTAAACACAGTGCCCTGCCAAGGTGAATGATCTTGGGCCATGATAAGAGATTCATGCAATACTGAAGGAACTTATTATTGAGTTGGTCTGAACTTATGATCCAATTCCAACAACAAAAAGACTGTATGTACCTACCATCTTTTAATTGCTTATACATTAAAAACATATACATGTCCCAAAATGTCCTTCCTATATGCTAAAGGATTGCTTGTGGGCACGACAGGGTGGACTGCCACTTCCCTAACCACACAATGTAAATAGGAAAAAGTAAGTTTCATGAACAGATATGCATTTAATAGTCAACCCTGGAAGGAGAGTGGCAAAGAGCTTAAGAAAGAGTGATAAAGGAAGAAAAAGGGTGACAGCTTACCACCTATATTAGAACAGAGAGCAGTAAATATACATAATGAGAAAATGAAACAATGAAAAGTATAAGCAGAAACAGAATGTGGTATTAACTTGCTGAACAGAGGGTCAAAGAGAACTATTACTTCCAGGCTACATGTATGATGGCAGTTAGTTAGATACTGCTGCTCCAAAGTGAAATGTGAAAAATGGAAGAATGTGAGGGGGGCAGAAATAACCTAGACTTGTAGATATCGCAGATGAAATAACTGAAATTTCTTATGTGGGATGTCCACCAGGCAACTGGATATGAATCTGGAGTATAGGAGAGAGACATCAGCTGAACATTAACATTTGAAGTACCAAGATTTCAATGGTACCTGTAGCCATGACAGTGAATAATCTTAAGAGATTAACAGGGAATAAAGGGACTTCAACCCAAACAAGAAGGGAGAAATAATACTGAGAGTATCAGGCTATCTCACACAAAAAACGAAGATGTACACCCACACAGGTGGCAAGGCCCTGGTTTCTGATTGTCATCGCATGCTGAAGTGAACTGTAGCTGTGCCTCATTACCATCTTAAATCTCTGCAAAGATATGGGTTACTTTAGTGACTATTCTATACCTGTGTTTGCCCCTCACCACCTGGAATGTGCTCCTCCTTTTCAACTGTGAAAGTCCCTAATATTATTTTCAGAATAGGCCAAACCAATTCCTCCAAAGATATAATTTACTAAAACTCACACAAGTAATACACAATAATAAATATATATTTATTAAAGAACAGAATAATTATTAATCTTCAAACATAGTACCTGTTGTGTATACATTCACCGGTGAATTCAATAAAATATTAAGGAAGAAATTATATCAATTCCCTACAATCTATTTCAGAGGAAAGGAGCAGATAGAATATTATGGCTCATTTTATGAAACCAGCACTACCCAAATACAGAAAACTACAGACCATTACCTCTCATGAACACAGATCCAAAATAAAACAAAGAAATTCTCAGTAGAATATCAGCAAATTGAATCCAACAATCTACAAAAAGAATTATACATCAAAACAAGTGGAATTTATCCCAGGCACACAAGGCTGGCTCAGCATTTGAATATCAACTGATATAACTCATCACATCAACAGTCTGAAGAAGAAAAAAAATCACATGATTACACAACAGATGCAGAAAAATCACTTGAAAAAACTTGTCATCCATTTGTGATAAAAACTCTCCTCAACTTGAAAACAAATACCCACAAAAACCTACATCTAACAGGTGAGAAATTCAAACCTTTCCTGCAAGACTAAAGAAGGCAAGGATGTACCCTCTTATCACATCTTTCATAACTATAGAAGTACTAGCTAATACAGTAATACAAGAAAACGAAATAAAGGGTATGCAGACAAAGAATAAATAAAACTGACTACAGATAATACAACTGTCATCTATGTAGAAAAAAACTGTTAAAGAAAAAAAACCGGAATAAGTGATTATAACAAGATTACAGCCTATAAGGTTAATGTATAAACATTTTTCAATTTCCTATATATCAGCAATGAATAAGTGGAATTTTTAAATGAAAACACAGTACTACTTATATTGTCACCCCAAAATGAAATCCATATGAATCTAACAAAATAACACATTATCTCTATACATACAAAATCTTTCTGAACAAAATCAAAGCACAACTAAGTGAATACTCTATGTCCGTGAATAGAAAATCTCAATATTATCAATGTCAGTTTTTACAAACTTTGACCAAAAGATTCAATTTAATGGAACAGAACAGAGAGCCTAGAATTAGTTCCATATAATTATAATCAACTGGTCTTTGACAAAGGAATGAATCAAAGTTATTCTTTAAAATATATGGAGTTGGGACAACTAGGAATCTATACACAAGAAAAGTGAATCTAGACATTCCCATTATAAAAATTAAATCAAAATGGATCACAAACTAAAATGTAAGATGAAAAATTATAAAACTCTAGAACATATAAAAACAACCTAGATGACCGAGGGGAAAGTAATGACTTTGTACATACAAAGCCAAAATCAAAATTCAGGGAAGAAATGATAGATAAATTGGACTTCATTAAAATTTCTTCTTTACTGCAAAAGACATTGTCAAAAGAATGAGAAAATAAGTCATAGACTGGAAGAAAATATTTGCAGAAGACAAATCTGATAAAAGGGCTGTTATGTAAAACATTAAAAGAACTCAAAACTCTATAGCTATCATAAGAAAACAAAGAGCTTAACAGATACCCAAACAGAGAAGACACAGTCAATCAATAAACACAGGAAGAGATGCTCTATATCATAAGACATCAGGGAAATGCAAATTAAAATAACAATGAGATATCACTACATACCTAGTAGAAAGAACAAAATATGGAACACTGATACCAAATGCTAATGAAGACATGGAACAAGAGAAACTCATGCACTGCTTGTGGGAATGCAAAACAGGACAGTCACCAAGGGAGACATTTTGGTGATTTACTATGACACTAAACATGCTCTTACCATATGATCCAGCAATCGTGCTCATTGGTATTTACACAAAAGAGGAGAAAATCACTCCCAGAATAAAAACCTGTAAACAAATGTTTATAGTAGTTTTATTCAAAGTCAAAATCTGGAAGTAATTAAGCTATCCTTCAAGAGGTGAATAGATAAAACTGTGGCATACGTGGTCAATGAAATATTACTCAGCACTAGAAAGAAATGAGCTACAAAGTCCTGAAAGGCATACAGAAATCTCAAAAGGCACATTTGAAATTTAAAAAAACAGTCTGAAAGGGCTTTTTACTTTATATTTCCAGCTGTGTAACATTCTGGAAAAGGTAAAGTTGTGGAGAAGGTAAAAAGATCAGTAGTTTCCAGGGCTGGGGATGAGGAGGGATGAACAGAGGGAGCACAATAGATTTTTAATGCAGTGAAAATACCCTCTATGGCACTATAATGCTATAAAAATACCATTAACATTTTTCCAAACCCAAAGAGTGCACAACACCAAGAATGAACCATGACGTAAACCATGGCCTTTGGACAACTATTTAAGTGTCAATACAGGGTCATCAATTGTAACTGATTTCCCACTCTGTTGAGGAATGTTGACAAAGGGGGATGCTGTGCATGTGTAAGGATATAACTATGGAAGAAATCTATGCACCTTCCTCAAATTCTACTGTGAAATTCAACTGCTCTAACAAAATAAAAGAGGTTTTCTCTTTTAAAAAAGAAATCCAGGAGTGGGGTTGTGTCTCAATGGTACAGCACTTGCCTGGCATGTGTGAGGCCCTGGGTTCAATCCTCAGCACCACATATAAATAGTTAAAAAAAAAAAAAAAAAAATCCATTGGCAGCTAAAAAATATTTTAAAAAGAAAGAAAGAAAATCCAGCCACCTAAAAGTTTGAGTTTGATAATTCTTACTTAATAATAAAACAAATATTAAAAATACCTTCCTACTTATAATATAAAAGCACTTAATAATAATGAATGGATAAAGAAAATCTGGCCCATACAGGCAACAGAGTATCATTCAGCCTTAAACAGGAAATCCCTCCACTCTTTGACAACACAAATGTACCTGGGGAACATTATGCTAAGTAAAATAGGTCTAGACACAAAAAAGTAATGCATGATGCCACTAGCAATGACCCAAATGTATGTGTTCCCCAAATTTCACATCACCATGTGGACAGTATTAGAAGGTGGGGCCTCTGTGGGGTGATCAGATGAGAGTTCCTTCCTCTGGAATGGATTAGGGCCCTTTGATAGAAAGGGCTTCAATCACTCCCTTCTGCTTTCCATGTCCTTCACTATGTGGGGAGGCAGCAGACCCTAACCAGATACCAGATGCCAGCACCTTGATCTTGGACTTTCCAGCCTCTAAAACTGTGCAATTTCTGTTCTTTATTAAGCACCAAGTCTCAGGTTTTTGTTACAGCAACATGAATAGACTAGGATACTATATATATCAAGAATTTAAAATACTCAAGCTTACAGAAGCATAAAGTAGAATGGTAGTTACCATGTGTTTAGGGTCAAAGGAATTGGGAAGGTGTTGGTCAAAGTGTACTAAGTTTCAGTCATAAAATATGAATCAGTCTTAAATCTACAGAACAGTATATGCAATTCAGAATATTGTGTTATATACTTAAATATCTGCTAAGAAGGTTACCTTTACTTAAATATCTGCTAAGAAAGTTACCTTCTGGGATACTACATATAAAATCTACCTATAGGTTTACTATATATAAAATGTAATAAACATTATTACATTTAAAAAGGTGTTTTATATATAAAAAGAGGGGATACAGTAGAAACTTTTGGAGATGATATATTAATGTATCATTTTTTAATTTTTTTTTATTTTTAAAGAGAGAGAGAGAATTTTTTAATATTTATTTTTTAGTTTTCGGCAGACACAACATCTTTATTTGTATGTGGTGCTGAGGATCGAACCCAGAGCCGCGCGCATTCCAGGCGAGTGCGCTACCGCTTGAGCCACATCCCCAGCCCCTTAATGTATTATTTTGGGGAAGTTGCCATAAGTGAGTAATGCTTATTCATAAACTCATCAAAATGTACACTTTAAATATAGACAATTTCGTACATCAGTCATACCTGAATTTTTAAAATTACATAATTAAAAATTGACAGCAAATAGGTATTTGCAAGTTTCCCAGTATATGTTTATTTTATTATTAACTTCTGAATCTAGTTGGCTATCTCAATACACTGAGGTGACAATATTTTTAAACCAAAATACATGATGTAGTCTAGAAAATATATTTTCCAATGATCTTCCACAAGGGTGCCAAACCCACTCAGTGCAGAAAAGTCCAGCAACCAGTGTTGGGAAAACTGAATATCCACATACAAAAGACAAGCTGGAACCTTACCTTACACCACATACAAAAATTAACTCAAAATGGTCCAAAAACCTATATTTAACACTAAAACTATAAAACTCTTAGGTGAAAATGTAGTAGAAAGGCTTTATAAAATTGGATTTGGCAATGACTTCATAGATATAATGTTAAAAAGCACAGGTAGCAAAAGTAAAAATACACAAATGAATGTAAATCAAAAAAAAAATTCTTGTGCATTATCATAATTGGAGTAAAAAGACAACTACAGAATGAAAGAAAATAGTTCAAATCATATATCTCATAACAAGTTAATATGCAAAATACCTAAAGAACTGCTTCCATCCCACAATTTTTAAAAAAATGAAATAACTTATTTAAAGCACAGATAAAGGACTTTCACAGCCATTTCTCCAATGATGACACACTAATGGCCAACAAGCATATGAAATATCATTCATCATTAGAGGAATGCAAATGAAAGACACAATGAGTTATCACTTTACACCCAACAGAAAATATCAAGTATTGGCTAAATTAGAATCCTTATAAACTGATGGTAGGAATGCAAAATGTTGCAACAGCTATGAAAAATAGGATAGTGGCTTCTCAAAAAGTTAAAAATAGATTTTCACTATGGTCCAACAGTCCAATTTCTATGTATATATATCCAAAATTGACTGCAAGACCTCAAAGAGATACCTGCACATACTGCATTGCTCACATAGACAGGATATAGAAGCAATCCAACATTCCCAGGGACCAGCATAACCTAATCAAAGAACTGGAGCAGGTGCCCAACATGAACAACTGCTCAGACTAGTGCCTACAGGGTGCCTCCTGCATCCCACTACCCAGCTGCAGAGAAGTGTCCACCATGTTCATACTACTCTCTATAGGTGGCAAGTATGTGAAAGGGCAGATGGCAGGCAACCAGGATCTGATTTGTTGGGCTTTCAGCCAGCACTGAAAAGGTGGTCATTTTTTGTTCTTAATCAACTTAAAATTCTAGTCCATAAACATGTATATATCTATCTTACCCTTCTCATTTTTAACTGGTTACCTGAAATAGAAGAATTAGTTATAATCTTTCAAAGAGTTTAAAAACATGACATGTATTTTTGAACAACAAACATACAAGTAAAAGACATTAAAAATGTCAGTGCTTCTTGGTTTCATTCTTCACAAATATTCTTATTGACTTGTTCAAACATTCCAACTAATTCCTGAATGCTTTCTCTCTGTGTACTGCTAAGGATGTCACATGAGCTAGCCAGAATCAGAGTCTACTTGCGATTGAACCTCATCACCTAGCAAACACACCCTTCAGGGGACTGTGAGTCCCAGAAGTTCTTCCCTCTATGCTGCCACCATGTGCAGACTCAAAAATAAATGAAAAGAACAATCAAACAAGAGTATCATGGGATACTCACTTTACATAAGATGAGATTAGATGAGATGAGACCTAAGAAAGGAAAAAGCTCAGGAAAAAAAAAATCCCTTTTCAGTAATTTGGGTCACTGACTAAATGGCAGTAATGCCATATGAAAGAAATAGAGGAGGATGAGACTTTCAATTTGGATTTGTTGGTTTGGAGTTGCCTTTTGGACGGCTATGAAAAAATAAGTACAGGAAGTTAAATCTATAGTCAAAAGACCAAGCTAAAAACAGGTTGGAGCACCCAACCACAAAGAGCTGAATCATCAAGGAGAACTGCAGAGAGGGACAAACAGTGAACAGGATGAGACACATGGATGAAGAAAAGAAATTCAGGTAAAAGAGAAGAACCATCACTGAGGCCATGACAGAAACTAATACAGAAGAATTTCCAGAAGATCATCTGCAAACAGCCAAAGATTCAAGTAAGGTAAAGACCAGAGAATAGTACTAGATATGACTATAATTTAGGTTACTGGTGAGCTTTAGAAGAACTAGAGCACTCGCCTAGCACTTGCGCAATCCTCAACATAAAAATAAATAAATAAAACAAAGGTATGTGTCAACTACCTAATCAAAGAACTGGAGCAGATGCCCAACAGGAACAATTGCTCAGACTAGTGTCTCCAAGAAAAAAAGAAATAAACTACAACTACATTCCATGGGTTCAAGTCCAATGAGCAGTGGGAATGTTTGTGAAAAAATGTAACTGAATGATCTGATGTATAACCTGTACACATGAACTGAGGAAAAATTATGGAGAGTTATTTAAGGGCCTGTGGTTGACTCAGTCCTCCACACATTCCAGGTTCAATCCCCGAATCCAGGATGGTTGTGCAAAAGCTGTCTGGAACCACATTACTTTAGCAATTAGGTAAATCTATCTAATGCTGAACACAAAAAGTGTTTATTTCCAAATTGTCAGTGAAAAGTTTTCCACTACATCATCTATATAACCAATAAAGACAGTGTTTCAGACTTTGGTGGCAGCAAGTTTTCATGCCCCAAGAGGATTTAGCATGCCCTCCTCTTATGTTCCATTCCAATCATGTAACAAATGTGACCGTCTTTTTGCCATGGTGTCAGAAAGATCAGAGACAGATGCATTAAACTTAGGTGACTCTGAGGTCTTATAACCTACCTATAATCTACATGCCAACTTTATGTCCAGTTTCCTGAAGCTGAGTTTCACTTATTTCTCTTTTTCCATTTTAATTTGTGGGTCTCACAAAGCTCACCAAATACAATGACAACAAAGTGAAAAGTAAATAAACAACTTACTAAAGATTTATTCAGTTTTCGTTGCTTTTGGACACAGAGAGAGAACTCTGGAAGCATGGCTGGAACAGCAGGCAAGTAGAGTAGACTAAGGAAAGAACTGGTGGAGCTCAGTACATTATTATTCTGCTCAAAACACTCTACATATTTGCTGAAAAAGACAAAAAAAATAAATAAATTAAAAAGCCTCTATGTGGGAGAATAGTCTACTCAGTAAGGGGCAACTAAGACCCTATTGAAGATGCATCTACATTAAGGTAGAGATTAGACTTAGAACTTATTTGGGGGTTAATTAAAACATGCATTACCTACTAATTTTATATTAATATTGTCTAAAAATATAACTTAATTTAAATCAAATTAATGCTATAGAAATACAATTGGGCTGTAGTAACTATTTCCCTATTAATGTGGGGATTCCACACAAGACTCCATATAACTGTTTCCACTATAACACATTTTACTTATATATACCTAAACATCATGGAACAACCCAACATTTCACCCACAATCATATAGGTAAAAATGTGCACAACGTGTATGTCTTGTGGTACACTGCTCCAGTAATGCTTCCCAGTGACAGAACTGTACCCAAGCCCTTGTACCGTATGTTCTGACAACAAAGTGGGCTTTACCATTTCACTTGCTTTGGCCAATGGGTATTAGAAATGCAATACAAATATCAGTTTGAAAAGTACTTGCCCACCAGCATTTGCCCTCTTACAGAATTAACATTAAAAAGCCTGTGGTTATACTGTTAGAAACCCAAAAAAGAGCCAATGGCCAGTACAAACCACCAGAAATGGCAATGAAGCCATCCTGCACCAACCTCAGCAAAAATTAGACTAAAGTTTCATTTGTGAACCAAGAAACATAAGCATAGAAACTGCCCACATGAGCACACCTCAAAATGCAGATCAGTACCAGGCGTGGTGACACATGTCTGTAATCCCAGCAACTCAGGAGGCTGAGTCAGGAGGATTTCAAGTTTGAGGCCAGTCACAGTAACTTACCAAAGCCCTATACAACTTGGTGAGACCCTGTCTAAAAATTAAAACTAAAGAAGGGATGGGAATGTTGCTCAGTGGTTTAAATGTTCCTGGGTTCAATCCCTGATACCAAAAAAAAAAAAAAAAAGGCAGATCAACAGAACTTTAAGCTAATAATTTTTTTCCCCTTAAGCCAATAAGTTTTGGATTGGTTCCTCACACAGTGAATGCCAACTGACATATCAAAGTCACCATAGTTCAATGCTTTTAACAAAACTACCTGGGAGAGATTACATGTCAAATATAATCAAAAAATTTTTCAAAACCATATTAGAGGGCCGGGGATGTGGCTCAAGCGGTAGCGCGCTCTCCTGGCATGCGTGTGGCCCGGGTTCGATCCTCAGCACCACATACAAACAAAGATGTTGTGTCCACCGAGAACTGAAAAATAAATATTAAAATTAAAAAAAAAATATGTAGAAGTTTTAAAAATCAGAATGAATGTAAGTTCAATGAACTTAGCTGAGGTTGCTGGCTCAAACAGATATCATATGAATCATAAAACTGTTTACACATCAGCAAACTTTTTTTATGTCATAGTCTGTTTACCTTAAAGTCTGTTACTTTTAGTGTACAATATATTTTATTTACATTTTAAGAAACTGGTTTGAAGTGTCATAGGTCTAACTTTAACATTTTAAACAATGTATGTGGAAAAATGTATGATTTCTAAAAACAGATTATCGACATTAAGTAGGAGACATTTGTGTTATTATCCCTTTGAAGTCACATAATCTGCAGAAAATGTTGGAGATAAAGAAAAGGATAAGAATGCTTAAGCCACAGTATTATAAAGCAATGTTTGTTCTATATTGACTTCAGTGTCACAAAAATAACCTCAAAATAAATAAACACTTATTTTGACTTAATTGTGGCAAAATGGGTAATGTAAGAGAAAAAGTCAATCTGGCTAACATTTGAAATCATGTGACCCCAGGCAACTGAATTTAACTTTTTTTTATCTTTCTTAAAAAGAAGAAATACTTCGGAAAACCATCCCTGAATTATCAGGAAGAACTATCAGAATAGAAGTGGCATCAGCATATCCCTACATGCCAAATCTGGTTCTGGCTGTGGAAATGTACAAGACAGCGAATTTCCTCTCCTGAACAAACTCCCAGAGGAAAACAGATGTTTTGTTTTCCACAGTTGGAATATTCTGCAGTTTCTCCCAGGAACTAGTAAGATAACTAATACTTGTGCAATCCCTAGCTGCTGTGGTACTGTCCTCCATAAGGAGGCTCTGTACTACAGTCTTATCAGCCTCAACTTTGATCTCAAGCACATAGTCCCTGGGAATAAAGGAACTTGCTTGCTAGATAACAATGTTTCACCAAGCTCCTGGATCTGCCTGCCTAACAGTAACTTCAAACAGACTTTCTTGAGAGCTACATAAAGCTCTAACATTGCATACTGGAACTATAGAATATAATTGCAAAACAAGCAACCTTAGTGATATACTAAAAATAATGTAGTTATTGCACTAATGACCTAATGTAACCTATTGATATAAATAAACGTGGCCACTTGGACCAGCAGCCATTTTCTGCCTCTGCATCTCTCTCTGTGTCTCCTTTTCTTTACAGTGATAGACTAAGTTTGAGATAACTCAATATATAGCAAACAATGAGGAAAAAACACTGAAGGAATTGCAGTGTGTACAAAGCACTGTAGACAGATGCTTTCAGGTATGCCTCCAGCCCAGGCCACATCTTTAATCATTTTCCAGTAAGTACTATTTCCTAGGCCCTTGCCTATCCTCCCTTAGCCCAGCTTACCTTTCCGCTCTGAAAGATGATTCAAACTTTCAATCCCACCAAGTCCTTGATAGCTACTGGATGAGGTACAATCAACCAAGTCCTGGGCATTCTACACAGTAGGGCCAATAATTGCTTAGGCTATGCAAAGTCACCTTTCTGGCTCTTCTGCCTTTGCGCAGAAGCACTAGTGGGAGGATTCTGGCCATGGGTGTAGTTTCTCAATTGGAATTCCTATTCATGGAGCCACTTCCTCAAGGTGCATTAAGAAGTGCTTGGTTCCAAGGAAAATGAGACCATCATTGTAAGGTCCTTGCTTAGCATCTGCACGGCCATCTTAAGTGACAGCCATCATTTTACAGTCATCATTTTAAGAAAAAAATTTCACTTTCCCACCCGAGGGCCTTTCTGAGATAGGCTCACTACTCCCCCATACCAACCCCACCCTTAACAGCCTGCATTAGGACACCATCTCTAATCCCTGAGCCTGCCCTATAAAAGTCCGGGATCCCAAGCCTGTTTTGCCTCTACCTCTAAGGAGAGATGTGCTTTATGTGTCAGCTCTCTAACAAATAAACTTTCATGTGTATCTCTACCTGGTCTCCATCTTTCATTTTTCGCTGGCCAGTCTCACTTATCTTCCTGGTAGACTAATTCATTGTCCCTGGAAACTAGGTCTTCTATACATTTCTATAAACTTCTGTAACTAGAGGTGGTAGGCAAGCAGTGAAGCTGGAATTAGGCAGGCAGGCAGGAAAGATATATAAATTGAGTCAGGTGGGATCAAGGAGTCCAATTTGAGTAAGTCTGGGAAGTTGGAGACTGCCCACTGAGGGACAGAAATGTTAATTCCTTCAGAGCCCTTCCTCCACCCTTATCAAGAACCTGTCCCAGCCCAATCTGTTGCTAAGATAACCTGTCCCAGGAATTGCCCCTCCCTACAGGGAGCTATAAGGCTAATTAATGTGTCCTTGCCGCTCCATTCTGCCCTACCCCTTCAGCCCACCGGTTTTCCACCTTGACACCGCCCCCTACCAGCATTCCTGGGCCTAGTCACTTGTCAGGAAGGAGAGATAAGGGGAAGAGGGCAGAATAAAGGAAGCCTAGGACATATAAAAAGGGCATAACACCTCGTTTCTGGGGATTCCAGGATACCAGCCATGGCCCCTTCTCCCTCCCAGAATTCTGTTGCCCCCTTTTAAATAAACCCTGCTGTATATGCTTGCCTCCGTGCTTCTCTAATGTTAAACTTCCAACACGCGGGGGGAGCAGGACTGTCACTGGCGGTATCAGAAGGACCAGAAACCTCACTTTTACCGCAGGGCAAGCCTCCGAGCGCGCTCGCGTTACACTGATAAATTTCTCTGGGAACTTGGGGGTCACTTTCCTAGTACGGTTAGGAAGCTTCTCGCACACGTGGGTAAACTGACGCCACCCGGGTTAGTACGGGATCCGAAGGGCTGCGCGGCGTGTGACTTCACGGTAACATACCTCCGGCTCCAGAACCTCTGCTCCACCGCCTCCCTCAGAACCTCCGGCCTTCTGGAGGCACATCCCCTGCCTTCTGGCGGCGACGGGTCTTCCGAGGAGGTAAGTCCTGAAAGCACAACCCAGTCGTCCCTTCCGCAGCCCCGGCTGGCACCGTCACGGCCCGGACCCTGAGATCCGCGGACGTTTCTGATCTCCCCTCCTGCTCCTCAGGGACTTGGAGGCTCGGGGATCTCCACCCACTCACACCAACTTTCCAAAACAAAGAACACAAGTCTGGGCGTGCTCTGGAGCGTGGGAAGAAATTCTGCCCGAGAACTTCAGCGGAAACATGGCGGGAGTGGGCGTGGCCGCGCATGCTCAGAATGAATCGGACAACCAGGTGGGCCATGTTAGTGAGGAGACTACATTTCCCACGAGGCACTGCGCCTGCCCTTGGGGAACCCGCGGAGGGAATGTTAGTTTTCTCTGCGGTGAGTCCGGGTACTCGGAGACCCGGATGTACCTGCACTGGCCTCAGGAGTTTCCTTATAGAATCCTGGTTTGAGAAGCTGGTTCGTTGTGGAACGAATGGAGAAATTCGAATGTAGGCGAAGAAGTCCGTGATGTTAAAAACTGGCTTTAACTTTTTTTATTTTGTTTAAGCGTATTGCGATTATAAAATCGACGTCTACTTTTACATGTGCATTCGAAAATTCGTTAACAAGGGGACTGGGATTGAGGCTCAGTGATAGAGCCCTTGCCTTGCACGTGTTAGGCACCCACTGAGTTCAGTTCTCAGCACCACATAAAAATAAATAAAGGTATTGTGCCCATCTATAACTAAGAAAAAAAATTAAATGGTTAACAAATAAGAAATTAATGTTAGCTTTGTCTGAGCTCATTAAAGAAGTGTTCTCACTCTCTGAACTAATGAATGGGTTTTCAATGAATTATATTATTGAATTGGAAATTCTTTGATAGAAGAAGTTAAATATCAGGGTCATAGAGTGTGTGCAGTCCATAATCCTTGTGCCAATCAGTTTACACTCTGGTATCTGATAATTATCTGCTCAGAATCTGTAGTCATTTGTTCTTTTTGGAGAATTTTGCCTTTTCTTCTTTGGTTTCTGCCACAAATTAGGCAAGAAGTTCTGTACAGAGATTTCTCAAAGCTTCCAGTACCACCAACTGCTCTTCAGACAGGGAAGTGTCTGGCTGGAGTCACCAGGGTCACCAGGTTGATATGTGCTTGAAGGTGGAATCAGGGTGATGTGAAAGTGGAGAAGCTTGGCAGTTGTGGGACAGCGATGTGAGAGGCTTGACTCTTCCTCAAGACCTACGCCTGGTTTTCTCTTTTCTTAACATGTGCTTTGCCCTGTTCAAATTCCTGCAGCTCTCTTCTGCAGATTCAGGGTAGTCAGCTTGATGTTATAAAAGCTGATGATACAAAAAATGAAATCGTTCTTCTCAGACCCACACAAATAAGGGTTTAGAAGTTATGAAGAGGGTGAGTCATGCCTGCCTGCCTGCCTGTGATGAGTACTTTCTCAAGATCTTTCTAAAGGCACAAAAGAGATTTCTTCTTGTTCTATACACATCTCAGTGCTTTGCACATCTAGCACATTTACACTGATTTCTGTAACAAAAATTTATCTTTAGCATTGTTTAAGATGGCAACAACTCAGACAAGATGTTCTTGACACACTTGCCAAGCAGAGACACCTACACCAACAGCTGACACCAACTCCTGCATCAGGTCCCCAAACCAGCAAATTTTGACCCAAGTAATTTAGGTAAATGTCTCCCTTTTTGCCTTTATCACTTTCCTCTTGCCTCAAACTCCTGAATATACCCATAGTTCAGTGTTGCACAGGTATTCCCATTGCAATACTCTATTATACACCAGGAAAAAAAAAAATCACTATTCTTTGGAGAATCTCACACTGATTGTTATTTCATTTGACAACCTTTGCAGATCCTACTTGCTTCAGACTTTGAAATTTTTAGGTTCCCTCTTAGACATTGAATCCCATATTTATCTCTTAAAAATCTGTTGGTGTCTGGGAGTCCTTTAAATACAAGATGATTGGCAGGGTTTGGGTAGGAAGAACCAATGCCTATATGAATAGTCACTCCTCTTAGTAGGCCTCAGTTTTCTACCCAAAAAATGGAGACAGTAATATATGTTTGGAAGAGTATACACCCCAGCCCACTTGTAATGCTCAGAGGGGAAAGAATGAAGTTCCCTTCTTCCTTCAATGAAGATGATATCCTCATTGCCAAGGAGAGGGGACTCAGGGATGACACACAGGTTTTCCCCAAACTAGCCGTCCGTGGGTTACAGTTTTTAGTATTCATTTTTTCACTTCTTTTGGTAAAATTATTCCTAAGTATTTTGCTTTTGATTCTGTTGTAACTAGGATTGTTTCTTTAATCTCGTTTTTTGATTGTTTACCTCTTCTGTACAGAAATACAATTGATTTTTGTACAGTGAATGACCTCTCTCTCACTCCATCTATCTCTGCATTCCTTCCTCATTTCTAGGAATCTGCCATACACCTTCCTGTGACTCATCCCTCTGAACACCCACTTCTGTTCCACTTAGTACATTTCCATGCTCCCTCCCATGTGGTATGGAAAACTGTGGAAAATAAGACCCATCTAATTTGACTTTCTTGGGCTCTGGTAAATATTAACAACCTTATCTCAGTGGCTTCAGAGAAGAGAGTTTATTTCAACCATGTTCCAGGCTAGATACTGTTCCTCTATACTGTTCTTGGAAGTGATTGATTGACTGACCCTGCCTCTTCCTTGGGAACATTGACATTTTGTGGATCCAATGGAACGCTTAGCACCATGGTTTCAACACACTTAGCATGAATCTTTCCACAACAGGAGAAATCCATATTCTCAAAGCTGGCCAGCAGTAATTCCCTACTCTCTAAATATGTGAGTAAGAATCTACCTTGAAAGATAAACAGAGCCAGACACTAGGTAAATTGGCAACAGATTTTTTTATCATTAATATACTATTATGCTTAGAATAATACTGCAATGAAATCAAGCTCAGTTTGTCCAGAAGTAAATGGACTTTTTTTTTTTGGTACCACGGATTGAACCAAGGGGCCTTTAACCACTGAGTCATATCCTGGCCCTATTTATATTTTATTTAGAGTCAGGGTCTCACTGAGTTACTAAGGGACTCACTAATCTGCTGAGACTGGCCTCAAACTTGCAATCCTCCTGCCTCAGCCTCCTGAGCCACTGAGATGACCATGCCCGACTCAGAATGTTTTTATCTTGATGAACTAGTATATCTGAGGGAAGACATTTCTATGCAGCAAAGCTACCAGGCTGTGGTATGGCTACTGTTAATTGCTTACAGCGAAATGAGAGAGCAAGGAGATGACTTAAAGATAGAATGTGTAACCAAAATGGAGGCAGTCTAGAGAAATGTGGAAATTCTGGAAAATCCTCAGTCTGGCTATGTAAAGAGTCTAAGAGCATGCTCGGGAGAAGAAACCAAGGATCTGGCCTATTTTGACTTCCCAGCCTCCAGAACCGTAAACTAAATAAACCTTTGTTCTTTATAAATTAGTCTAGGGATTCAATTACAGCAACAGAAAATCAACTAAGACCACTAAGATTGAGTCCTAGTCCAGAAGAGGGCTTGGAGGAGCCAGAACAAGAGTTTGGTACAGGAGAGAACATTTTGTCACTCACAGGATAGTTAATGCCTACACAATTTGTATATACAAAGTAAAAGTCAAAGCACCTTAGACTTGAGGACACACTTTTCTAGTAAAGTGCCTACTCCAAACTTGTCAATGTAGACAAGGAAATTCTATATTCTGCTTTATTGCCATTCCTTCTACACTAATTGTAATACCTCTGCTCTGTTTGCCTTTAATTAATCAGCTCTTCATCCACCAGCCTAAAAAGAAGAGAAGTCAGGAGAAGAACTGAGTGTGGGAGTGAAGCAGATGGGAGAGAGTCCAAGAACCCAGAAGTGAAGAAGAGACAGTAATGGAGCAATAAAACCCTCTGGGGTTTCTGATCCCAGCCTCTAGTTCCTGGATCCCCAGTGGCCCCATCCTAACTCCATGTGAATGGACAAGTCAGGAGAGCAGAAGGGTTTTTTGTTTGCTTGTTTGTTTTCCAAGATGAAAGGGACAGAGAGAGATGGGGTAAAGGAAATGGAAGAGTTCTGGAAAGAACTGGTAAGAATGGAAGCCAGCACCTTTTGTTGGACATAGTTGGCTCTGGTTTCCCCCTGTGCTCTCAGGCAGCCTGCCGCAGTCTGGCTAGGCACAAAATAACCGAGCCGCCACACAGCCTTGTAGGTTCAAAACAGGAACTCCTTTATTCTCCGCACTCTTGTGAACACCACCCATGAGGCCTTCTCGTGGGACACACCACACACCAACCAGAAATCCCTCCTCCGGCACTTCCCCAACCAACGAGAACTCCCCAGGAATCCTCGGGAGAACTCCAAAGTAGCAGGCTGAGGCGGACAGCAGGGGTCTAATATACAATTGAATACACAGCTTAACATAACCATCATCATCATCTCAATGGCTTGCTGGAGTCACCTCTCAACCACTCCAAAATGCCATGCTCATCCCGACTCCGCTGTGGCCCTCAACAGCAGCCGACACTCCACTCTCATTCACCTCACTGTCAACATCTCATCCTGGTGACATCACTGCCCAAATTCTGTTTGAATAGCATGTGCAGATGTGTTTGTGCTGGAAGCTTTAGTCAAGGCTGGGGCCACCGAGCAGTGTGCAGTTGCAACACAAGATGCACAGAGAGCTTCAAACACACACACACACACACACACACACACAGAAATGAGACTCACTGTGACCAGCATCTTCCTCTCTAGTAGGCAGATATGTGTGGTGAGGTGACTTCATGAACACATATCCAAGTAGAAGGGATAAAACTAACTGTGTTTTTCAGACTTTTTACCAACTCAGCACATGGAAAGAAATATATTTTAAATCACCATGCATTACACATCTATACACCTTTGATCAATTCAAACAAAAGTTTCACAAAACAAAAATTGTGATATCTCTGATAGATTCTTCTACCTTATATTTGTTTTCAATTAAAAATAAATTCATCAAGCTTCTTAGGATTGATGGTACCTACAATTTCCAAAGAATTGAGTTTTAGAGAAATTCCATACTTAATGGCTAGACACTGCTTCCTTCCCCTCCACCTACCACAGTACTAGATAGGGCACTTGCTGAGCCAGGGCATCCTCTGCCCCAGGATGTGTTGGGGTGGGTAATGTGATATTTTCCCTTGAAACACTTTCCCACTTGAGTATCT